TGCATTATTTGTACATAATGTACACTGGAAAGGAATCAACAAACTTTTTATAATCTGCCTTAATACAGTAAAGAAGTAAAAATGAAATACATTAGGAATTAGAAATTCAGTTTTGAATCATTATGTATCATTAGTTCGTCTTTTAATCCTTCTTTCAAATGTAATTAAAAATAAAAACAACTTATCTGTTTTTATTTTAAACTTTTCATTTTCTTTTTACACCGTAGAATATAAATATGGCACATGCCCACATGGCACCGGTGAAGGAGACTATGGACGAAACTGTCATTACGATTACCAATGTCCAGGGGTCCAGAAATGCTGTTACGTATACTACTCTTTGAGAAGAGTTTGCATGGTTCCTCAAGAATATAGAAAGCCAGGAGCTTGTCCATACTATCCTAACATTGGCGGAGCTGGATCATGTAACCATGACTATCATTGCGGTGGTTCTCTGAAGTGCTGTAGAGGACATTATGGAAATGTGGACACTTGCTCTTTTCCTGTATACTACAGAGGAGGAGTCGGACCTGTTGGAGGAGTCGGACCTGTCGGACCTGTAGGAGGAGTTGGACCTGTCGGACCTGTAGGAGGAGTTGGACCTGTCGGAGGACTCGGACATGTCCTTGGAGGCGGTCATAAGAGAAAATATGTGTATTAAATATGCAAACTTTATAGAACACATTGAAGATAAGTTTGGGGCCTTGTAAAACAATGGAAAACGAAAATGTCAACTTTGTTTAGACGTTAATAAAATTTGCATATAGTCTGTTATATATTGTCTATTTATTTAAACCATATACAGTAAATGAATTTTATTTGGCTTGTACTACATGTATATTTGGATGAAATTGTTTTTAACAAGTTATATATATATATATATATATATATATATATATATATATATATATATATATATATATATATATATAAAGCACTAAAGATGACCAACGACGAAAACAATAAAAATTGTCAAATTTTCGGAGCGACCTGTCCCTTCCTCAGGAGAAAGAAAAAAAGTTAAGAAGTCATGAAAAGAAAGGAAACAGAAAAACAAAAACAACTTGCACTACTACTTAACTACCAGACACTAAATATTTACAATGTTACATTTTTAATTTGAAGTTTATAAACAGTTGTGAAGAGAGAAATACGGAGCGCTATGAATTGCGTCCGGTCTATCGGGTGTACTCTGGTGAAGTGATATATGACCCCCCCAAAAAATACGGAGAAAAATTTTTGACAGTTTGACAAATTTGTGTTTCTTTCTCAACTGTATATTTTTCTGAAAATTTATCAGCCAGGGGACATAAATCAAAGAAGTAATTTACTGTGGCCTTATGCATACTTTCTTTAATGGCTTATTGAAGGTAAAGATGATCCAAAAATGGAATGCATACTGTAAAGTGGTTAAACTGAAGGGTTGAATGTTTGACGATTTCAGTATATCATAAAAATAGTGTGTGGAAACCTTAACGATCTACTAGTAATTGACAGTTCTCTTTGACAGGAATGTGAAAGTTGACGATTGGAAACTTTGACGATTTTTAGAAATTCTTCAATTTCGTCAACATTTTCATATCGTCGAAGTTTCCACTTTTATAGTAGACAAAGATCATTAGAATCTGATAACAAATTGAACCTCGCATGTTACTGATATATTTAAATAAGTAGAATATTTCTACCATTCACTCATAAATAAAAAAAGGCTGAAAGCGAGGAGGTAAATGAAGGAAAGGAAATACACGTATTTGAAGGAAAGGAAATACACGTATTTGAAGGAAAGGAAATACACGTATTTGAAGGAAAGGAAATATACGTATTTAAAGGAAAAGAAATACACATATTTGAAGGAAATGAAATATACGTATTTGATACTCTATCTATTAAAGCATGAAGGTTATGAGCAGAGATTGTGGCCGATCGAGCTCTTTTGAACTACGTCTATATTCAAAACGTATCGGATGTAAAAATATTTATTCCAGTAAACACGTTTTATCCTTACACCTCTCAACCATTTGCTCATAAATTTTTTAAAAAGGGAGGGATATTGAAGGTAAATCGAAGAAAGAAATATGTGAAATACTATGGAATGCGGGAGCTGACTTAAGGGTACAAAATATGCATCATAGTGTCAATTTTACATAACATTAAGTTTATTCTTTATATTATTAAGTCCACTTTATATGATATGAAGCACACAATTTACACCATTAAGTCCACTTTGTATAATATGTAGTATACAATTTATACCATTAAGTCCACTTTGTATAATATGTAGTACACAATTTATACAATTAAGTCCACTTTATATAATACGTAGTATAGAATTTTTATCATTAAGATTTATATATTATGAAGAAGAGTATATATATCATTACGTAGGTCTGGGTACTGGCTAGAGATTTCGTATTGCGATATATTGCCATGTTTGTAACTGTATTGCGATATGCATTGCAATATTTTCATAAAAAATTTAATGATATATTTTTATTATATTAACTTCATTTTACATGCAGAATGTACATAACTATGATAAATAACCAATAAAAGATGCATGTATCCTGTTGATAGAATAACAGTTATGTAACTAAATACATCCATACAACAGCTTTTTCTTAGTGTTTGGTATAATCGCAAACCTTTCTGACAACGTTTCTTTATATTTTATGATAGAATTCCTGAGTCTAAGCATTTTGCCGGTATATCGATATAACAAAAACGTATTGTGATGCGGTATTTCTTGTCAACGTACCACAATATACCGGGATATCGGTATTATTGCCCAGCTATTTCATTAAGTCCACTGCCACAACTGTATTAAGTGCAAGTCTCTGTAAGAATCAGGCAAAGTAGGTTTGAAAGTGAATCATGAGGGTTCTCAGAATTTGATGATTTTCAACATATAGATTTCTCTTGTGCTACAATCAATGTATGCAAAGTGAAAAAAGTTTTGGGTCATGGTTACTATGGAAACATGACAAAAGAAATTTCCTTAGCAACCAGTCAATTTTCCATGTGTATGGACAAAAAAATCACAAATCTTTAGGGCTTGAAATTTATTGTGAATATTTAATAATTTCTTCTCATTTATTTTTATCGTAAAGATAAACATTTAAAGTGTTTTCACAATGCATTACATAGAAATAAGATTTTGAGATATATCTGTACTAGACATGGGTAGATATGCATGTTTTGTATTTTTTGCTGATTCAGCAACCACAAATTCTCCATAGCAACAAAGCAAATAAAGTCACTTTCGGCAAATATTTATGAACAATTATAAAATATTAATCCACAGTTTGGTAGCATATTGCGATTAATCAAATTTGATTTTGTAATAGATGTCTTAGCAAAGTACATTTTTATAATTTAGCCCATTTTTATACTTTTAACCCAGGGTAACAACATTTGAGCACATAAGAACCAAAATATGTTATGGAGAGTTACTAACAATTTTCTGTAACAACTTGAACTTTTTCTGGCACGCATGGTCACCGATTATCATGAAACTTTGCTCGTTATAATAGTTACAATTATAATAGTTTGACAACAGAATTTTAAATCAATCAAAGTCTGGTTGCTATGTGCCTTGGTTGTCATGGTAACAGACAGGTTGATTTCAACAAAATTTAGATTTTCGGCTATTTTGAATCTTTATTGACCCTTCACAGGCACTCAAAAAACCAAATTGGCCATTTACATATAAAAATAAAAACAATAAACCTTGTTGCCACTTATTATGTAAAGAAAGTATTTGGAATAGATCTCTATATAGGTGGTAACCATGGTTACACTCGGCATACATTTTATATACAGTAAAACGCTCAGTATTATCTTATTATGGGAGTTACATGACTTAACTTTATCGCCAGTAATAAAGAAACAATAAAAATAGTTTACCTTATGAAAAGAAGTTTTAGCAATATTATTCTAACAATGAAAATATCGACTGCCATGATAACACATCATTTGTGCCATAGTTATAACCCAGCAAACAAAGACTGGAGAATATAGGAATCACTTTGTCTGTCTGTTTCTGTGTTCATTTGTCTGTGCAATCATGATGGGGTCATAATTTCGTAATGGAAAAAGATTGAAAGTTCATTCTTGAAAAAAACGATTGTTTATAATCTGAGCTTGAATTTGACTTTAACGTTTCACCCAAGGTCATTTCAGCTAGTTCAAGGTCGTTGGCAGTAAATAGTGTAAAATTTGTCTGGTCTATAACTTTCTTATGGAGGCACATCGGATATTCATACTTCATACAGAGATTGTTTTTAAGAGGTGTATCATGTTCTTCATTCCATGTCAGATGATCAAGTTCAAGGTCCTTTACAGATAAATGTATAATTCGTGTCCTAACCACATTTCGAAATATTGTAAGCTCATGCTTCACAAAAAGATTTATGCCCCATTGGTATGTTCAAACCTTAACCCAAGGTCATTCCAGTAAGATCAAGGTCACTTCAACAAAAGGTTTAAAATATGTGTCCAGGCCACATAACTTTGTAATGGAGAGCCATTTCGAAGTTCATTTTTGGCATAGATTGCATGTGAACAAAGAGTGTGTCATGGTCTTGACCCATGATAATTCTAGCAAGTGAAAATCACTGGCAGAAAAAATGTTAAATTTGTGCCAGGTCTACGGTAATTTTCTAATGGAAAGTATTGGATGTCCATACTTCATAGAAAATTGATTATGACCTTAAAGTATGTCATGATTTTGACGAAAGGTTATTTGATCAGGTTCATGATCTATTTAAAAAATGTATACATTGTGTCCTGTCTACATCTTGAAATGATTAAACACTGGAGGCCCATACCTGACACAAATATTGCTAATGACTAAGGGGTGTGTCTTATTATTTATTCAAGATCATTTTGGCAAGGTCAAGGCCGTTCCCAGGAAAAGTGTCAAGTTCATTTCTTGTTCACAGCTCTTTAATTGAAAAAACATTGAACGTTCATTTTTCACAAAAATATTACACATGGCCTTTGGGTATGTTGTTGCCTTGATCTAAGGTCATTCCGGCAATGTTCAATGTCACTTTAGGTTAGTGTAGATATCATATCAGGACCACTAATATTCTCCTTATTAATTTGTATCAACATGTATAATTTTGGAATGCTGAATTGGGGACATTAACAGGCTGTTCCACATTACTTTGGTGAATAATCTAATCCATACTTTGCAAAAGTTGTGTCCGTTTGCGGGGTCAACCAAAAGGTCAAAAGGGAAAAAACGACTTTTCCCTACCAAATATATGGGCGTGCTCCGATGCATCAATTGTGTTTAAATTCTTTTCCTTCAATGTATGGGTAGTCTTATCCTGTGGCAATCAGTATAGAAGCAAAAAATTTTTCTAGTCAAATGACAAAAATACAAACCAGAAAACTACAAAGCCTACTGTGAGGGTTCTACTGGTTCTTCCTCAAAGATGGCGACCAAGGAAATTAAGTTTTGAAAAGTATGGATTCAAGCGTTTGATTTATGTAATAGTAATGTGCTTTGCATGCACTATGCCTAAAAAGTAGTCAGGGTTTGATACATGGTGCACAAGCCGGAGGTGCATGCAAACCACAACACTTTTGTTATTATTATGCTGACTGTTGTATAAAAGCAAAAATATTTTTTTCGATTTCCAACGTTTCATCAATTCTTTATACTAACATGCTGGTATACCCCTATTATAACGTCACGATGTGAAACAATT